TAGAGAGGGCTGAAAGCCCTATGAAGCGGTATATAAGTCTAACTGCTATTGCTATTGCTAAGTGGGTTTTGGATCACCTGACTAGAAAAGCTCGGCTATTATGGTTTCTGACCCATGGTTTATGACTGGAATCTGTGGACCCACATATTTGGTATATTCAAGAAACCATGGTTTATGAAAACCATGCTTTAGAAAGATGTTAGAAGCAATCTTGTTTGGGGAATTAGTGTTGGAGATGGATATTCATGAGTAACAAAACATGGAGAATTTCTAGGGAGCAAAAGTAAGAGCAACAGATGTCAGTGTTTCCTTTTATTTCTCGCAAAATAATTGTTGTTATTATTTATTGGTTGAGCAATAATATCTGCACTGAAGCCAAATCATAGATTCCAAGGAAAGCATTTAATATATCTATGTAAGGTAAGGTAATTAGGAAATGGTAATGCTTTGGTACAGGTAGTTTTCAACTTACAATCACAATTGGGGTCAGAATTTCCATTGTTAACCAAGGTGGTCATTAAGTGAAGCACATGGTCATTGAAGAAATTCAGGTTCCCTCGTTGACTTTGCTGATCAGAAGTCCAAATTTTGAACATGTGACCACAGGGACACTGTAACAGTCACAAATGTGATAACTGTTCATTAGTTACTTTTTTTTTTCACTTGAGTTTTGAACGGTCACTAACGAATGGTTGTAAATTGAGGACTACCTGCACCTAGAAAGCAGTTGGCTGGATTTCTGCCCATAGAACTATGGATAGTTTTGGGGGAAAGAATCCATGGATCTTGATAGTGATTAATACAGCGATGGATTGCTCTAAATACAGACAATTGTTTTGTGCTGGTGGGTATGAAGGAAGCATTTTGGTTAGAAGACAGACTACTATATAAATAATTTCAGTAAATAAACACTTAAATAAAAATAAATAATTCTGGGAATCCGCAGCGTTCCATATTTCTCTGACGTGCCTGCAAAATATTAGCATCTGCTTTTTCCAGGAAAATTTTGATCTTTTATCAAGGCTTGGAACAGTCTCTCAGCCCAATTGTTCTTGCTTTCTATGATCTGTAGTATCATGCTCCAACAGAGCAAATAAAATCTTTTTCAAATCCAGCTGAGGAGACCAATTAAGCCATTTTCGGATTATAAATTGGAATTGTCTCTCTCTGGCCATGCCTTTGCAAAAGTCATTGTTAAAACTGAATATATAGGTACCCTGTGTTTCCTTGAAAATAAGACCAGATCTTATTTTCTCTTGGGCCCCAAAATATGCACCAGGGCTTATTTTGGGTGGGCGTGTCTTATTTTGTTTCCATGTAAGGGAGGCCCACTTCTTTGCCTTGCCTGCTGCAGGGCAGGAGGCTGCATGGCGCGTCAGGGCTGCCGCCATGAGGTGGAGGGGCGGAGCTGTCCCACACGCCCCTCAACGGCTTATCTCATAGCCAGGCCCCCACAGTCAGGCCACCCACACCGCAACATCTGTCTTGCCTCATGGCTACAGCATCAGCACACCAGAGATGGGTTGCTAATTCTTTTACTACTGGTTCGGGCTTGCTCCCACATGTGCACAATGCTTCTGTGCATGCGCAGAAGCACCAGGGCAGGTGGGCGGAGCCTCCCACCGCCACTTACTACCGGTTTGGCAATCTGGGCCAAACCGGCAGCAACCCACCTCTGCAGCACACCACCCCGCCTCCTGGTCCATTGCAGCTGCAAGCAGAAGAAATGAGCCAGCGGCCCCGTGGACTCCTGGTAGATATGGTTGCTGGTGCTGCCACTGTGAGGCATGTGCCGGGACATGCAGGGGCCCTGAGGTAAAGCAGTATAGGACACGGGCAGCTCCACGCCCCCCCTGCCTTGCCTCAAGGCGACAGCACCACGAGCAACCAGACAAAACGGATGGGTTGCCACCTGCGCAGGGGTAGGGCTTATTTATTTATTTATTTATTTATTTA